CCAGAAGCATATATGTTGCGAAGAGAGCAGGGCAGCAGCTGTATGGTCACTATCACTGTATCCTGAGACGGGGGAATCCAAAGCTCGCACGCCCAAGACTGGTCTACCGCAGGACATGATGAAGGAGTCTGTGACAGCAGCGGTCTCGTGATTGAATGAGAGAGTCTTCCATACTTGGAGACGCTGAATGTGGCCAACAGTGAGTTCACCAACATCCACACGGGATCTTACGTTCTTGTGTGGTTTGAGTAGTCTCATCGGCGGTGGACCACGCCCTGAATCGGCTACCAGTAAGTAGTTGAGTCCATAGGCTTTGGCTGAATGGGCTTCAACGATGCCATCAGGCCTGGGGATATGGCATGACTACTCCACAGCTCCTCCGCACTGCTCACCCGTGCCGAAACACATCAATTAACTCCGTGTTCATAGCGGCGGTCACGGACCTCACGCCACTGCCTACCCCGTCGGCCTTTTCAAGCAAAATGCTACGGTAACGTCCGACAAAGTCCGTCCAACTGACCAATATACAATGTTCGATTCCTCCATAGTGACAGGAACATACCTGATGAAACCCGTAGCCTCACGGTCACATTTCCTGAAGAAGGATACGATCAGCTCCATCAACTCTGGTAAAGCAGAGCCAGCTTCTGCACGCCGGTCAAAAGTGTCGAGGTCGAGATGGGACAGGCACAAGTAGAGAAACTGGACCACCGTCAATCCGACAGGTTCTGGTCGTTTCTTGCCGGTCATGGGGAATCTGAGGAGAATGGCTGAGCGACTTAATGACCAATCTCGAGTCGAGATTCGTTTCTTACTCGTTGTTGTTTTGTGACTGCATTATCTCTGCGTTCGCCTTGCTGTTGGTATAGAAATCTTTCTCAAGTTCTACCAAAGCATCTCGCTCGAATAACGAGAAGAAGTCTCGAATGAGGGGTACTTGCCCAATGGTCATAGATACTGCGAAACTGGGCGAGGCGTGGTATAATAAGGTGTCCAACAACGCAACTCCATCAGCCATTCGGTAGTAGTCCGTTTCCCTCGTGACCTGAAAAGTCTTCAGCTGTTATCGTGGTCTCAATTGCGCCTAGTAAGCTAACAGCATTCCGATCCTAAGATGGGCTACCAGTATGAACACACTAAATAATTCCCGCCTCTTCGGCAGACTTTCGCTGACTCGCTCACAACAGCAGCTGTTAGTCGTTGGAACCGGACCGTATATCGTGCTCAGTCAAGAGCAACACACTGGCTTTTCTCTCATCGTACTCTAGTAGCCCCCATAGCATGAACACGACACTGCTAGGAGGACCACAAGGACAACTCGTTAATGAATAATCATGAACTTGTCGACTCCTTCACTGAGTCGATGCACTGCCGTATGAACTCCGAGTGGAAGAAGTCGGACTCGGCCAGTTGCGATACCTGACGACCACTGAGACCTTCAAGTGACCAAGAGCATCAAAGCACCGACCGTGACGGCAGACAGCTTCGTCGGGAGAGACAAGCCAGCTTGCTCGATGAGGGTTTCCCATTGCTTGGCACTGAGCAATTGAATCTCCTCCAACACTGAACAATTCCGTCGCTGCCAGACCTGTGAGTCATGCCTCACAACCGAGCAAAAACGACAATGAGCTTACCTCAACGATGTCTTGGACCAAAGCCTTGTATAATTCTCCGTATCGTTCAGAATCGAAACCACTTTGCGGACTAGTTCGTCCGCCACTCATCAGACCACCTACGGTGATGAAATTGTAATATCGAGAAGACTCTGCTGCTGGTTGCTACTATTGCCAGCTTGGAGGGCAGCCTGGGCAGGCTTACACGGACTGAACAGCTTCCTTGAAAGCGGGTATGTCGCACGTGAAA